CCCTCGACTCCGCCCACTTTTCTCCGGAGTTTTTTTTTCCCCGGAATTTCCGGGGTCTCGATTAAAAAACGAATCGGTATTTTTTCTTCGTCGCCGTTTCGCTCTGCAAACCGTAAGATTTATTAAAGGCGCAGGCCTAAATTACAGCTGTCGCCTCGAAACCATCGGCTGAAACATGATGCGCCTTTAAGAAAATACAGTACTTTGAAATTTTTCTCATAAAAACGCGCGGGTAAATCATTCCGTCTCCTATTTAGGGCTGACAGCATCTTGCATGAGTATTTTGTTCCCATGCATATGTGTCACTGCATCTGGGAACCGTACACAGAAATATAAAAATTTTCTAAATATGCAAGATTTTGTTTGGATTTCCACAAAACAATTCCTATTAAGTAAGCAACCAAAGTTAATTTTCTGATTGGATCCGATCTTTCAAAAGAGTGCAACAGCTTTTGCAAAAAATTCGAATGAACGGCAAACCTTGACACTTTTCTCAAAAGGTGCAAAAAGGGGACGCAATATTTGAGGAACAAATACGGCTTAACCGACACGGCAAAGAAGGCGCGCTTAGTTTTTCTCTCAAGACCAATCATATGGTGAACGGTCTTCTCGTCTAGCGTTAAATCTGTCCGTCAGAAGTACGCTTAGGTCAATTTTGCAACAAGCGTGATAGTGAAGACAGACGCCGAGGTGGCAGACTCGTATAATTCGTCAAGTTCTCCCGGGTCTGTGTGGGAACTTCTTAAAGTTTTAAACATCTGCCGTACATCTGGCAAGCACAAAGAATCACAGTGATGACAGCGACTTTGGAAACAAAAATGAAAGAAACCGGGAGAAGAAGAGGGACGGCTGTTTGCAATTTGTACTCGAGGGAATCAGCTGGATCCTTAGTTTCGCTGTAGTCCCGAACAAGAAAAAGACACGCATTAATCCTAAGAAATGCAAAAGTTTGATTGATGTTGAGAAGAAGAGTAAGGAATAACGACGGGGAAACAGAATGATATGATGGGGTACGGTAATGATAACACAGATAGGATCGTAAATTAGATTTGAGCTTGGGTATTTTTAGTAGAACATGGAAAAACCGATCAAAGAGTTTCCAAAGACCGAAAAATGGCTGCATGGTGTGATAAGAGTGTTCTGCGCAGCCAAAAAATTGTCAAAACCGAGAGTGATTGACCGGATTTGTTGGTCAACAGACGTCCAATAAAGAGTGAGTGAACGGATAAATCCAAGAGACACAGGGGTGATGACAATCGTTTTTTCTTTTCGTTCGGGGCGCTTTTGGGTGAGAAATGAACGTTTTTGTTAGTTTCGTTCGTTTTCTCAGTCTCTCTCACACATTTCTGTGTTTCCAATAGCTCGACAGACACTCAAACACTTATTCAGAAAACGGTGCGGGAAGAAGAAGAGATTGGGGCCAATTTCTGAAATGAAAAAGGATTGACCCTGAACTAATGTCGAATTAGCTATGCAGTCTCGTATGCCTCCGGATGACAGATTGAAGTAGAGAAATGAATTGTATTGACTAGAGAGAAGAATTCAGATTAAAATGCACTTTTCCGATGAAAAAGTTAGTCATCAGAAATTTGTTTAAGAGAAATTAGATGAATTTAAAAAAAGAGAACAACTACAGGGTGGCCGATGAGTATAGAACGTTTCTAAACCTTTCCCATTTTTTAGAAAAACGTTTTTTTAACTGTAATAACTTTATGAAAATGTTTGAAATATGTAAGAATTTTAGATTTATGACAAGTAGTCATGATTAGAAACACGAGCTTTGACGGAAGTCTCCAAACGCAGGATTAAAAAAATTGACTGTGCGCCGACGGTAGTTGACGTCAATATCGCTCCAGAACTTTTGAAATGCACATCACAGAAAGTCCGGAAACCTGTAGGAGATTTCTGAGATCTTGCTCTTCAAAAGTCTCCACACACCAAAACCTATCGGATTGAAATCCGTGGAGTTCCCACGACCTCAAATCTTTGCCGAGGTATCTAGGAAAATAAGCGCCTAAGTCCAGAATAGTGGATTTCGATCCACAAGTCGGTGCCCAGTCTTACTGATGCTTCCAAAAACGTCCGTCAAACTGCTGAGTAGTCTACGGTAACAATACTATACCAAAACTACCTTTTGGCAGACCTGCGAGCTGATTTTCATTTTTAAATTAACGAAAACCAAAAAAGTTGTACCGGTTGTCTTTATTCTATCCCAATCCATCAAACTTTTCTGGAAAAGGCGGCTTAGGGATAAAATACGTTTAGGAGGTTAGTTGTCATCTTTTTTTAACAATTGTCTCTGAATACGACAGTTCGGAAGAGGTTCATCAGTGAAAATTTTTACGGCACCCCACATCTCATCTGACCAACGGCGCAGGCGAAGGTTGGAAAAAAGTTTTTTGCATTTTTTGAGTCTGCGCTCCCCGGTTGTGGTAGAGATGGTTTGTTTCCGGTAGATACGATAATTACAAATGTTAAAATCCTATTTGACAATTTTTTGAACCATGTATCTTGCAATTCTACGGTCAAAAGCCATTTTTTCGCTCAATTTGACGTTTGATGATCCCACGAGTCTGGCGAATGCTCAAAGTGAATGACGGCCCATGTTTCTGTTTTAGAAGGTCCCTTTCATCCTTTTGGACAATATCAAAAACATTTCGAACACTTGATGAGGAAATTTTCAGTTTCCTAGAGACATCGAAGCTTGCACCCCCTCTTTTGCAACGTCTCAATCCTGAGTTGATGTGCAGAAGTTGTCATAATTCCGAACAAAAAACAAAATTATACCGAATGGCATAATTTACTGCTCATATAGGGTCCCTAATTTCTGTACCTTTCAAAAGTTTTTTAAAATTATCTCTTGGCGCCGTGCCAAGGATCCCTAAAAAACGTCCTATACTTATCGGCCACCCTGTATTCAGACCGTTTTTCCATTCTCCGAATTCCAACTCCTACGGAAGCAAAAAAAAGAAGAAGAGCAAAAAAGAAGTTAGAGCTGTCAAAGGAAATAGGGGATAATTGATTGAATGGGTCTCTCGTCATCTGAGAGTTCCTGTTCCAAAAATATCTTCATTCTTCTTCCTTTTTTCGTCCAATTAAAAAGTTGCGAACAGAAAAGAAGAGGAAGGGATAATTGAGATTGAAATGTGAAAAGAATTCTAAGTGAATGGAATAAAAAAGAATAAAAAGGAACGGCCGTTTACCCGAAATGAACATCAAATTTGCATTTGAGGCAGGTTTTATTCGAAAAGAAATTGGAGAAAGCTATAAAAAAAAAGAGGGAAAATGTCAGAAAGGAAAGAAGAAGTTGAATGTGTTTTGTGGTGATTCGGGAAAGAGAGAGGTGAAAAGAAAAAGTACGCCTCATTGAAGAAATATGGTATGTTTTCCGAATAAAGTCTGGTTTTCTTATTGAAACTCTCAATCGGTCACTTTAAGAAATGAATGGACCAAAGACACAATAGACTTTTCGCTTAAAAGTTGTAGAGAGGAGGTTGTTTTTAGTTTTCTTGAAGTAGAACTACAGTAATCCCTAGTAAATATTGGAGAAAATCTTAGCAATAAGTAGAAATTAAAAAAAAAATCTATCACGATTCCCAAATGTTATGATGTGATCTGGAAGTTATAACAGAATGAATATTAAATCATGTAACAGAACAAAGGGTCCCCACACTATCAAGTTTGAACTTTTGAAATTATCGAAAATTCCAAAACTTTCTGAGATAAATAATGAAATTAGATGAATAAGCAACTACCGTATTTCGATTAATAGAAATCCACTCAAACCATCAACTTTGAGCTCAATTATCTCAACTCGTATGCAAGATATCAGAAACGTGTCAACAGATAAAACACTTCTGATTTTATAATAAACAATTTATCAGTTGACAAGTTTTTGATATTTTCGACAGGAACCGAGGAAAATTGTCTCGAAACTAAGAATTGGTAGCCTTTTATAACGATTCCAGAACTGTATTTCGGATATTAAAATATAGAGATTATGCACCCACAGGTGTCACTTAAATCTTCAAAATGCATTGAAAAAGAAGTTTTTCTAAAATCTAGAAGACTCTTTCACATTTGAGACAATCAAATGAAAACAATACATCGAGACTAATATTTATTGGGTGTGGGGGAGCATCTTATGCGTGTCTCTCTCACTCAATCTTTATCTTGATCCAAGTTTTGTTCGAAATCAGAGATGATAAAAAACGATAGAGTGGGGGAAAATAGAGAGCATTCAGACAGAGACACAAAGTCCATTTATCTTTTGTCGCAAACGAATGGGGTGCCATCATCTGTCCGTTCTTCACGAATTGTGTGAAGAGGAGGAGGTGGTGAATGAAGGAAGAAAGGAGCACTCATGGAGCTCCAAAGAAAAAGAACAAGTGATGGAAAGATGGAAGAGTTTGGTGGGGGAAGATAGATGAAAAACGAATTGAGATGGGTCAAATCAAATGAGAGAGAAGAAACCAATCAAATCGAGTGGACATGTTCAGATCGTGTTTTGTATCATATTTCAGCCTACATTGTGTTTCTTTTTGTAATAAAAACAACTAACGATTGTTGTAAACTCAATTATCTATCCTGGAGACAAGGCAATTTATATGAACACATTTAGTTTTGAGTTTTGTCAAAAAATTAAAAAATAATATTTAGTTTTCAAAATGAACTATAAGTGCCAAGGAACCACAGTTCCTTACCGTAAAACATGTGATAGAGGGTCC